CTTGACACACATCCGATAAGACGAGACACATACGATACAAACCGACACACAGCAGTTGAGCGGTTCCTTAATAGATGAAGATTAGCACCCCTGAGGCAACAACAAACCGCTTGAACGCAACCAGTTTCTCTGTCTGGTTGACTATAAAAATGTAGTACACCGAAAAGTGCTTTACTCGTGTCACTACACTTGACACATTAATTTCTCAAAGCCATTTTATTTCATTTGGAATTTTGACAGGTGATGATTGAACTCGATCCCGGGTTCTAAGTATAGATTCTATAGGTTTTGAAAGGGCCATTGCCATATACAGGAACGCAAATCATTGCTTTGTTTAAAAAAAATTCCACCAGCGAAATCACACAACCCCTGTGACAATATATGTACTAGTAATATTCTCTCCCGGATCGCATTTCGATGTACTTCCATTGAAATTGCTTTCCCAATTCTACAAACGTGTGCGTAGCACAATTACCGCTATGCCCTAGCACCTAATAGGGTAGCACTGCAACTCGGGTGGAGGCGGGCTTTAATTAACCCCCCCGCGCCCCTAACCCCCCGAGTGCGCGACATAAAAATATAAGGCCCGATTCCTATTGGTCGTAGCTGACCCGAGAGGAAGATAGACGATCCCCATAGTGGCAAGTGGTGCGGTGGGCACGCACACGGGCCCAGTATTGAACCCAGGTCTGGAAAACCTACAGGCTTTCACAAAAACAAGTACCATACTTTTTTGACAGAGCGTAAAGGTACCGCTGTTGGTATTCGGCAGGCATCACAACCGCATATACACATACCCATAAGTTCGCATTCGATGCCACGTATGATGATTGAATGAAGTAGAAAATATGGCCCGCCAAAAGAGTGGAAGCAGTCAAACGGAGGGCTTTTATGCCTTTTCTCTTATGTTTTTCAGTGTCAACAAAATGTCTCTTCTCATATCTACCAGTATTAACAAAAACTACAAGTAGTAATTTAACAATCATTCATTATCATTATTTTGATCAATGTTATTTTTTTCGAATTTTTTTCGAGTTTATTCCTTTTTGTTTATTTGGCCGAGTGTGCATGCTATGCGATGTAATTCGAGGTTTCCAACCGCGAATCACTCCTTCATGCTGTTTCATACCCCCAAAGACCACCTTCACAGAGGAGCCTGAGAAGGCAGAACCCAGGCAGCAGTCCGCTGAAGGATTCCGTGCGGTCTGTAGGATAGACTTCCAGTGGACAATATGTGGCACTCCCATACATGGAAATCATCCGACGAGGGTGCTAGGGCCTTGCAAATGTTAGCTGCAGCAGCTGCAGTGTTTCCATCGCAGCAGGCTGTTGTCTGGCGCCCTCTCATCTGTTGCGCTCTCTCGCCTCATACTCTCCTCTCCGCGCTTAGTCTCTCATTGCCTTAGCACAGCCGATTAGGAAGGTGAGTGAGCCCTTAACCTGAGCGTTTTCGACGGATTTTTTCCCTTTTCTTTACTGCTGGCCCATTTTGCACCAATGCTTTCATATTCGTTTGTAGGAACCACATCAATTTGGTCATGGGGCATGCTTTCAATTCATCAGAAATTTGAAGAAAAAAAAACTGACGCTTCATTGAAACACCTTCAAAATCTACTTACATTTGGAAGAATGTGCTTCACAAACCTACCTACCCTTTAAAAATTCCCACATGTGGCAGCCTTGAATGTGCCAACGTGAGTAACTGCCTGCTGGAAGAATTAACTGTAATAATCCATAACGGCCGGATTAAAAGAGAAGAGGTTAACGACCGATTTTCCCGGTTACTGCTACGGCTCCCTCGACCCTACGAAAGTTTTTTTTTCTAATAAAGTATAAAATGATAAAGCATTTGCCGTTGATCAATCCCTTTTTGGGATGCGGCACGCATTCTACTTCCATTTGTACATTCGTAGTGGCGTTTGAATGCGATGTGGCCTATACAATGACTTGCGGGGGCCAGTTTGGTACCTTAACCGACCCCGGAGGGATGGAAGGCTTGGTTGGCCCAAACGATTCACTACCCAGGATTCGATCCTGGACCGCACACGTGGTAAGTGTGTCAGCATGCCACTACTCCACTTCCGCCCGTTTTTTTTCTATTACAAAAGAATGCGTAACTTGCATTGCGCCGAGCAAGAGTCCAAGGTTAATGTAAACTGGTTCTACGGGTGAATTCCATATGACTCATTTCTCACTTTCATTCGTTGTCATCCTACAATAATGCCTGTTATGGGAGAGCTGCGCTCGCATTTACAGCGCATGTTGAGATTAAGAACGTTATTTTCCTATCACCATTAGCAGGAGGGCATCAGGCCATCCCAGCCTGAAAAGAGATGCATCCCTTGCATTCGCTCGAGAGCAATAGATCCAGGTTCAATGTAAACTGGTTGCTAGGGTGATTTAGAACGCTAGATTTCCTAACATCTGAGAAACATAGCTAGAGAAAATTTTGCCTGCGTTACTGACTGCGAAAGAGCGGAAGTGGTGAAGTGGAAAGGGGCGCTGCTTACCAAGTACGCGGCCCGGGGATCTAATCCTGGATATGCATCGTTTGAGCCAACCAAGCCTTCCATCCCTCCGGGGTCGGTTAATTGGTACCAGACTTGTCTGGGAGGATAAAAACACTGACTTGTACATCGGCTGGCCCCCGCAAGTCATTGTATAGGCCACATCGCATTCAAACGCCACTACGAATGTACAAATGGAAGTAGAATGCGTGCCGCATCCCAAAAAGGGATTGATCAACGGCAAACGCTTGATGCTGCTTTCATCAGATGCTGAAAGTTCCTTTGAAGCAACAAACCCAGGTGGGGCGTGCTGAAGAATGTGTTCTATGGATGGGATAGAGTAGTCCACAATTATATTAGTAGTGCCGTTGTCTCGGCCTTATGTGCGACAAGGGCGTTAGGCCCTTCGAAGTGATCTTATAGCGACTAAAGCGAACTTACGGACGAGATACCTCACGCTCGCCCTCATAACGTGGATTACGACCTTGGGAATAAGATAGCCGACAAGTAGAAGAAATGGTAGCCTTATCGCATTGATGTGGTTGCATTCAAAAAACTCGTCTAGACACTCTTCATGTCACCTCTTCATTGCCAGTCGTTGTTACCCCATCAATTTGAATTGGCGTTGTTGCTTTAGCTACTTTTGAACTCTGATATAACCATTTGTAGTCAAAATTTGATGAAGTAATGATTTCAAGCCTGTGCTACTATGTCGAGAAAGAAGTAAAAGATCAATCTCGTCCAACGACTTACCGCTGCGTTTGAGGGTGCGGACCGACACGCAATTCGCATCGAAGTATATGCCCCCGCCGAAAGGCGCGAGCCTTCTCGCGGCGCATTTGCCGCGCTATTGGCCCGGCACGCCCCTCCTCCTTCTCGCGTCGTCTCGTGCCTGAGTCTCTAGCCGTTTAGCAGAGAGAGCGTTAGCGTTGAAGAGGGCAGCACCGATGAGAGTCGCATCAATGCGCAAATCAACGGGCAAGGAAGGGGTCCCATTTCTCGGGTTCTGGGCCTTTTCTCATTTTTTCTTCTTTCGTGCATCACTGACCATCTCTAACTTGACTTCCAATGAACCGCCTTTTCATCGTGAAATCCGCCTCCAAGCCCACAACCCTTGAGATATATGTTCTCAGAACATATCAAATTTGAAGCGTTTATTACCAACTATTCCCACCCGCCGGAGCTATGCGCTTAGCTCTGGCTAAAAGCTGTAGAGAGAGAGTTGAAAAGTTGTTGTGATATGAGAGGACGATATAAGAAAAACAGCTCGCCTTACGACCCCTCAGTTAATTGGATACGGCCCCGCGCTGAAGCTTCCTCAGCGGAGGCTAGCCCATGTGTAGGCGCTGTCAAAACCGTTCGTATAATCAGGTGTGCCGTACTGAGGCTCCTGAACAAATTGTGACGGAACGCTGGAAAAAATGTCATTTGCAACAATTGATGATGTGATCAAAAAAAACTCGGACTTTTGACTCCTTCCCCCCCCCCTCCCCCCCCCCCCCCCATCCATCTGTCATTTCAGCAATGGTTTTCGGACAAAGAACACTCCACGGGGTTGATCAATGGCTCTCAAATTGCGAAACATTTGACTTTTACGCCGAATTTAAGAACTGAAATGAAAATAAGAAGAAATGCGGGCATAAGCAATGGTTTGTAGAGCACAGTAAGCATTCTAAAAGGTGCCTTGTTCCCGTGAACACTCTTGTACCAATTTAATAACCATGGAAATCGCTTTATTGTGTAATTCGACCAAAGCACTCTTGTAAGTTCCTGGGACATAATTCATCCGAACGCAGCGTCACATGTTCAATTGATCGAATTGAGCGAAAAAAAGTTTTTGTGCGGATTTGAGCTTTCACTTTCCTTTCCCAAGAACTATCAAACCTCTTGCGAATTTCCTCTCAGACAGCAAAATATTTTTTGTATGCTAAAATTCATTTACTACTCAATTTTGTTAAGGAATCCAAGCCTTTTATTTAAACAGCTATTTTGTCAAATAAAAAAGATTTGATAAATCCATAAAGTCAAGATTTCAGTCATTTCGCTGGAAGCAAAAAACCCACAATGTGCATTCGGATGTCACCGTAATCGTCGTTCCGTTTGCATCTTGGGGGGCAGCGGGCGAGGAAGGGCGGGAAGCAGGTGGAGAATTATCAATGTCACTAATATACGTGGACTGTAATCAACGGTTCTAGAACGTGGATTGTCCGAAAAAGGAAATGATCGTTCTGTTTGACGTGAAGCAAAGAAGTACGCCAAGTTTTTGCGCTTGGGCCATAACTTGAAACGCCTGTTGACCAAACTCGAGATAACTAATGAAAACTTGTACCGCCGAGGACGTCGAGCGGTCTCCGAGAACTACCTTATAAGAAAACAATTTTCGCAACTATGACATTGTAGGGATATTCGCAATCAAAACCATGTATGAATCGGAAAGATATATATCTACGAAATGAATCGATTTTCGTCCAGGTGAGCGTGTTCGATTCTGACATGAGGACAATCAATGGACCGGCACTTCTCGCCGACCTCGTTCTTCTTTATGGATTTGGTGAGTATTATATCTAGTTCGATTGGTAACAACAACTATCTCTAACTAAATGGTGGTTCAATATACTAGCAATAGATACAGGCAAACTACGCCCCCCCCTCCCTCATTAGATATTCTGACCGTAAAAATCTTGTTGCTCGACTTTTCCCCAAATCTGTTTGTCTGGATGCATGAAAATCCATCGTTTTGACCGAATTGCCTGCGCACGTCGGGTCAACTCATGTATTTAATGAAGGGATGGCATCGAGATTTGCGATAGCTTCCCTTACGCGTGCTGCGTAAGCAGGTTCATAGTGGCGATCGTAAATTGGACTAGGTAAATTAGTTACGGCAAGACGTGTCATTTACCCCCCCCCCGTGTCGCCTAGTATTCCTTCTTCATCATCACCTGATCGCCTAATCGCATTAAATCGCTAACTCTGCGCTGCCTAACACTTCCTTCCCATTGCACGCCTACGCGCTTGACGGATAGACCTTGCACACCACATAAGGGAGAGAACCAGAATCGTTATCAGAATGCGTCAGTATGAATAAAGGCTTCTCGCGTCTTTTATGCTTCCGATAGCATTGGTGCTAAACATTTCCAAAGATCTATGTACATGTGGTGAGATGTGCTTGTCCAGTCAAGTGAGTATACAAAAAGAAAGACCTCCAAAAGTAGCCGAATTGCTTTTTGAAATGAAAACAGCCCTGACCAGCGAACACCTTTTGTAACCAGATGCTAACAATGATACACACTTGATTCGAGCTTTTGCTGAATCGCCCCGTGCATTCAGTGATTGTATGCGTGTCAGGCCCAGAAAACAGCGACGACATCTGGTGGATAAAAGAGTGTTTTATCCCAACAGACAGCTCCCCGCCAATGGTAAAAGTTCTGGCACTCGAGCAGTGCATTTCTAGGCTATTTCTACCTAGATTATTGGCAAGCGAACCATGATATCCTGACATCAAAGATATGCGTTAATGAATGCATTCCGAAGCGAAGGAGCAGAGTGAACAGTACACGCTGACAACGAAGGGGGTAAGGACTTGGGCCCAAAAAAGGACTAAGAGTAGGCTTAGTACGTACATATGAGCTGACTGTATGGCAAACATTAATTTTTTAAGCTATCTTGCAGATGCGAGGTGAAGGTGATGTAGAGACAGGTGGCTCTGCGTACTTTTTGCACTGTGCTGGTGTCATCCCTAGGATCCGATCTCTCCACACCAACCAAGTCTTCCGCACTTTTAGGGCCGACTAAATGGTAATAAACTCGGTCGTGGGGTTGCAAACAGTACCTCTACATCAGATATTCCGTACATATTAAGCATAGGCTGAAGCGCATTCAAATGCCCTCACGGTTCTGAATGAAGTCGAGTATGTAGCACATCCCAAAAATTGATCAACGCCACATAACCAAGCCTTTATGTCTCGAACGCAGCACTATTTCATCTTCGACATCATGTGAATTTACTGCAGGGCTATTCGGCGGTGTTATCGTTCCACACCTCACGGGAACTCATTTTCGAGGGTTCTTCTGCAATGATGAGTCCATTCACTACGCCTACAAGGGAGACACAATCACTCCGGCAGTCCTCATGCTCTATGTGTTTCTTGTCATGATAATAGCGGTAAGATTTGCTTATTCTCAAATTCTGATCTCAAAAGTGTTGACCACTATGTGACTAGAAAAAAAAACGAATCTTGGGAAATGTTGCACACATCGTCTTAAAGGCACGAGTCAGGCTTAGTGGACCAAACCAATCCCTTTTGTCGTCTTTGTGCATGGCTACGCACCCACAGAGACGTTACCATGCTCAGAATCCCAAACGGCGCCGTAATAAGGCCTCCAGGGCACGTATTAAGCGCTTTCGCCGCCTGGCCGGCGCTCCGACCGCCCACCTCGGGAAGTGGTGCGTGGCTGGCATAACGTGTGAAATCAGCTAGGTTGATTGCCGTATCAACCGATAGAACGACTGATATCTCCAGAAAACTTGTTTGTACGTGCCTCTTTCCCAAGCCAGCCTCCTTCACTGCTAGTGGGAAAGAGGGTTTTGTTAACGGCCTTGTCGACGGTTTTTCTCAGTTTTTTCTCCACTGTCGTTCCACTTCGCATCTCTATACTCAGTTTCAATCGCCATAATACCCCCTTATTGAGCCCGACTTTTGCCTTAAAGTCCCTATTGCCGTTTCTTGACCGTAAATTGCCTATAGCAATAATTCAATCACGACTGAGTTGAACCTCTTCATCATTCGATCGGGACTTATTGAAACACGTACAAATAAAAATGTAACCAAGCAGAGAGCATCAATAATTTTTATTTTTACATTTAATGGGGCCCGTGAGTATGCGGTCTCGGCTGAATGGTCTCGGTTCCCTTTATGATAAAGAAGCACTTGACCAGCCCAATTTTGATGATAAAATTCATAAGGGAGGATTTGCCTTCTCTATCAGCGTTCTAGTATCGCAATTACCTTTTGAGGATCTATTTGGTTCTCAGGCTTCAGCTTTCGTCGCTCCTATTTCGCCCTCCCCCTTTTCTTCAATTGGATCTACCAATATTCTTTCGCAACTGTTCGAGCTGATGCAATAATCGCAATAGTGGAATGGCTGACACCTGCTGAGCGCGGAATTTCATCGAAAGCGGTAATAAAAGTGAAAACAGGCAAGCATGAGCGAATTGTGGGCTTCAAAAAGCCCAAAGGAGGAAGGGTTGTCTCCTGATGAGCAATTGCTAGCCTATGTTTTTATTGGCCAGTCAGGTGGTGCATGTGCAGATTTCTCTATTTGTGGACGTTCAAATGGAGGATGTTAGACTACTACAGAGGGATTGGCAGAACAGGATAGATCAAACAAAGACGCGGCCGCTCAAAAAGTAGTGGGATAGTCGTCGCGACACGCGAAACCATGCCCGCGTAGTAACCCAATTCGGCCAGCGTAAACCTGCCGTGGTCATCCCCCCTATCGTCCTCAATTTTTCCTTTCCTCATTTTAGCAGAGGCATTTCATCTACAGCGACCCGTAATCTTTAGATTTCTAAGTTACAGCGTCATCAATAACAGGATGTTTGTCGGTGTTGGATACGCTCACCGGAATAAGAAGTGTGAAGACAGACTGATCTTGGTCACGTGTGCTGTCCGGCACGCGAAAATCGACGGAAGATGGTCACCATTCTTAAGTCTTAAGTCATTTTCCTTGACGTCTTCAGCTCCCTTTCCCAAACTACATCGCTTTCAGCTCCAAACTGGGTTAAGAATTTGTGCCATCATGCGAGAGCCTAGCACAGGGGTGGAAGCCCTATGAGCAATTACAAGGTTGTATTGATTTACATTTATTAGCTATCGTGTTCTTCTTTGACAGAAAGGAAGATTTCCTATTCTTTCAACGAAGTAACCCCGATAGCTAAAATGGAATCAATAAAACATGTGAATTGATAGCGGTGAGTGTGGCAAAAGCTACATTCATGGTGCTGTCCTATTGTAGTCATTAAGAGGGACCAACGCGGGCTCTTTCGGACCCGTTGAAAGTCGCCCTAACCAATGGTCGGTAGTAGTCTGAACCCACAAGCTCAAAGAGCTTGGCAAGCTGAAGGACCCGATCACTTCTAATTTTTCCACGTGCCTTTGCGAACGACATAAAGTGGCTTTGGTTTATATGGCCGATTTCATCTATCAATTTAGCTTCTTTCCGAAGAGAATCTCCAGCAGTTAATAGCGAACGCTCGGGCGTCTTGTGCAACTTTCCCAGAAGTAGCTGGAGCTGTATGGTAAAGTAAGGACCAACAGCATTCCCTTGAATCTGCTTCTTTCCATTCTGTAAAGGATGATACAATTTAGCATACTAAACGAAAGGAGAACGGTTCTGATCAAAAACCTGATGGCTATCAGCAATCAAACGTGCTTGTTATCTAATCACAATTTGTCCTACATAGCTAAGCGCATGCGGCGCTCTCCGCGAGTAACACGGATCTTGCCGCTCTTCTCACATTCAGTGCTCCGGGCCCTCATTTACTTTTAGTTGGAGCCCAGCTTTCTATGAGAAAATTACTGACTGAGAGAAATTCCGGAATATGAGATACAGCAGTCGCATTTGTCAGCATTTGGGGCCAGATACCGATCATCTCTTCACACGTCGCATGGGGCCCTAAGAAGTTCAACCTGCGTTGCGCAGTTCGCAACGGCACGTTGAGAGATCCTCAACGCACGCTGTATGGGCGGAGACGCAGACGGCTCGAGCATGCGAGTGTGAATGTTCGCGCGAGAGAACGTGTCTAATCGGGCGAAACTGCGCAACGTGGCCGTTGAGAACTGCGCAATGCACGGTTGACCCTGGCCATAAGGTTCGTTGAGGCCACACCCGGATGCCGAATTCTAAGGTAGGTGTAACACTATGCAGCCACTAGCTAGCTAGCAATTAGAGCAAGTCCCTAGTGCTTATTTGTTCTTAAAAAGCAGGTGAATGTCACCGAGGAGCCAGCCCGATGTCCCAAAGGAATTATAGTAAGTGTCCATAAGGAACCAGTTAGTGTTCGATGTTGGTTGCCATGGATATTAACTGGCTCTTCAGCGACAATCACTGGATCCCTGGAGACACTTACCGGCACCTCGAGGACATGAACATTATCGTTTAAATCGCTGGCGAATCGCGCGATTGGTCCAAAGTATGACAGCTGAAGGCTACAGAAGAGCACATGAATTTCTGCTATGTCATCAGAATCGAACATAGTATTCCCTCACTCCCTCGCAAGCTTTTTATCCACACATTCCACACGTTAATAGTACCTAATGGTAATTGAGTCCGAGATAAGATCTTACTCGATACCATTATGCCCAATCTTCACCCTGATATCATTAGCATTCTATCACTGCACAACCCAAAAGCCTATGTACTCAATAAATCGTGCGGCTTGAAACATACACCCCCGCCAGGCAGTCATTCCACACGTCGTGCTTATGCGCTTTGGTCCGCATAATTAAAACATAGATGAATGCTTCTATAACGTACGATTGGCCAAGAATATTTGTGTATAAGTTTCAAAGAAAATTGTGCAGTAATAGCAAAGACCATGGTCTTTCCTCACCTACCCACAATACTTGATTGCTCGCGGCTTCCGGACTTCCCATGTCGCTGATGGAGTTACAATGTCTGTGTGGCAATAAAGGTGTCTGCGTAAAGCAAACATGCTAACAGCTCGACTAGAATGCTGGACGAAATTACTACCTTATTATCAAGTTTATCATGGAAAAAAATTGACTGGTGCTATTCAGGTGGTGGCAACGGAAATGTATCGAGCTAGGATAACTTCGCAGGGCTCACTTCCACGGTACAAACTTGGCAGCACTACCGTACACCCAACAGTAGTAGAAATAGTTACTTATATAGGTAATTTTCACTATTTATTTTTGGGAACGTATGGAGTCATATTCGCATCCATAGATTCCCAACATGCTGAGCTACGCAACTGTATGGAGTATTTCAGGATATTCTCAGATAGGCTTCGTT